CTATAGATATACTGTGTACATATATAAAGCGCTCGTGTCGTCTCTTCCTGTCTGTCTGTTTGGTTGTTTGTTTGTGCCAGGATGGGATGGGTCAACGAGTCAAATCATGGCGATTTACCGCTTGTGGGCGGATCGTTCTCGCAATGGGCGCTACTAAGCACATAAGATCATAACTCGATTCAACGGAAGCGTGAAGGCTAGAAAAAAATATAGGAAGTGTGCATGGCCTTATGCGTGCCGAGCATTCGTAAACATATCGAAGCTCTGCTAAGAGTGGGTGGGACGTTCATTCAAATGATAGGTCCTTTTTAAAAAAAACTTATAACTTCGTTTAAAACTGTTCCAGAACGCGGGAAGAGAGTGGTCGGAGGCTATAGAATGTCTGTGGTCACAACTCCAAAGTGGACAAGGATCGCAGTAAAGTGGGCTAAAATCAAAAATTCATAACTCTGCTCAAAAACTTAGTAGAACACAAGAAAAAAGCTTAGGGGTTCTATAAAAGGTCTGCGGGTAAAACACTGGAGTGGGCGTGTTTGGGCCAAAGTGGGCGAGACCAAGATAAAAAAATCGTATTTCTGTTCAAAATGCTCTAGAACGCAGGAAGAGTGATTAGAGGTAGTGGAAGGAATGTGGCTGAAGCCCTTCAGTGGGTGGAGCTTGCACTAGAGTGGGCGGAGGTAAAATTGAAATTTCATAGCTCTGTTCAAAAATATTTTAGACCACGGGAAAAAAGTAATCGGAGGTAAGGGAAGAAATAAACTCAAATACCTGACTCGATCCGAGTTTGCACAGGGATGGACGGTGCATGGATCAAAAATTTATTACTAAGGTTGAAAACATTCTGGAGTGCCGAGAAAACGACTAGGGGCAACTGAAAGAGGGTGGTCGAATTTTCAAAGTGGATTCTGCACTAAGGTAAACGTTGCCAAGTTCAACCACTAATAATTCTGCACAAAAGAAATATATCGGGCGAGTTGCTCTCGAAGCGACTCTCCGTTCAAATTTAGAGATTCTGAATCTATTCTGATAATTCAACATGGCGCTACTTCGTAGATGAGCTGTCGCGGGCATATAATGTACGCGTTAGCGTGCATAGCCCAAGTGGTAAAACATATGATATTTGGTTGTTCGGGAAACAATCACGAGTAAACGTTTTACCGGAAATTTTTCTTCTTCTCTCGATCGAACCTCTTACGATGACATACACTCGATTTCAATTTCGATTATTTTTTGCCATCGTTTCATTAATTTCGTAGCTCCTCTCTAATGGAACAGGTTTTTTGGCCAAATAAACTGCACTGCATGAGATTGGAAACCTTCATAAAAAGCGTTCAAATTTCTACAAGCTTTTAAAACAAGCGTTTCAAAAAAATTGTTTCAAAAATCGCAACCACTTTCCGATTAACATAATAATATATAATATAATATATAATATAATATATAGGTGTAGCAGTGAGAATTAGAAATCTAAATGACTTCACAATGGAGCAAACATTATTGCACCTTGCGTCCACATGAATCAGTCTGCATGCTGTTGCTATGCAGATTTCTTGTTCATTTAAGATCACGTCCACCAGCGGAGCAGGGCCGAGCGGAATGTGAAGTAGTTCCAAGCTCGTCGGAGACCATTCTGTGATATTCTGAAGAGTCTCTATACGAGTCTCTATGCGCTCATTTGAAATATTAAGAAACATTGGAAATTTAACAATGGAGCACTCATGCTTGGCAGAATGCCGATTGTCTTGTTCTATTTCAATTTCAGTGGTCAAATAAACTGATACAGAGTTCTGCGTAGTCTATGGTCTGAAGCACTGGAAGAGGATATGAAGAAAAAAGTGAAAGAAGGGGATTTCCATATTGTGAGGGGATTACAGTTTCTCACGATGAAAGACGGGCGGAGTCAGATCACTCGGTTATTTGACCTCCAAGACTTTAATTAATATCCGAAAAGAACCCGCCTCAAGTAATGTTAGCGTTCCATTTGCTAGAGCAGCAAACAGCCTCCCATCTGCACAAAGCAGCCGTAGAGGAGCGTCTGGTAGCTTTATTTCCCACAAAATGTACCTATGAGCAATTAAACGATGTAATTGATGTCAAGACGTGCGGATCAGGAAGCGCCTCGAAGGCACAACGCTCTGCAAATCTATCATACGCCTAGCTTTCTCGCCTACTTAAGTAGTGAAAGCAGTTCTCCAGAACATAGACTCGAAAAGTTGAGCGAAAAAGGCTCTGTATTCTCACCCTTCATTATCCTGAAGATGCAAGGCTATAATATACCCTGAGATTAGGCCAGCAAACGCCATATCTTCTCTGACCAAAACAAACGAGCAAACACGACAGTCAAACTGAATGAAAACAAGCGTATGTCATAGATCGTTGATAAACGGCGAATATAATGAAAAACCACGTTACTTCTGTGTCCATCAGATTCACTGTAGCTTTACCATTCTCTATGAGAATAACTCCAATGTGTCCGTGACTTTGGTTTCCAGCAATAATGTAGCCTGACGGACGATGTTTTTGAAAGGCTTGATACGAAAGTGTTATCATAATTTACCTAACGTAGGGTCAAATTCGCTAAAGAACACGTCGGATATCGAAAAACCGCATCCTTCAGATGACTCGCTGCCCTAGGTAAGAAGTGCAGTACATTTGAAGGATATGCAATGTGTAGAAATCCTAACGGTGGGTGACTGAATGCTGCGTATTTGCTGCCTCTGACTCAGTTTTCGATTGAGCTGTTCGAGATAACCGAGTTGTTTCGACCGCAAAATGTTGCGTGAGGGCAGCTCACCGAGCTCTTCGAATGCCAACTGTAAATGGTAAAAACAGCTGATCAACTAATTTTTTTTTCTAAAATCGATAACACGACCCGAAAATCCTGGGTAGTAATGAATCATCAATTTCACCTAGGAGGCCGTGAGCGTGAAGGAACTTTTCCCCAATTTCCCACTTTCGCTTGCGGCATGCGGCAAATCTTCTCTAGCTGTCCCGCGGCTTCAAACTGCAACTGCCGCACTCATCTCGCCTTCCCGCCAATCGATAGAACACAATATTTTTCGTTGACTGCCTTTCTTTTTGATTAGTCTTGATTGCTTTTTTCTGTTTCTTTTTCGTCTTTATGTTTATAAGACTTAACTGTTCGGAATGATTCATCCTATATTATCGAAGATCAAGATCGCAATGAAATTGAAGGGAGCGGCCAGCGAATTCAAATAATTAAAGAACTCCCTAACTCACAAATTGCGCGCTCCAATCTTCCATCGCAGTTCTGCTATACGCGGCGGGTGCGGCGAGCGTGATGGACACAGTGTGCGGGGAGAAAATTACGGACCCGAGGACGTGAGTGTAAAAGATTGCTGATGGCAGTGGAACCAATCCCAACTCTGTTTCTCTACTTATAATTCTTCTCCATCCTTGCCATTCCTACAGTATTTTATTGGAAGCGATTATGGTGCTAGGTGGGTTGAGGACCACGCGGCGCGGCAGGCGGCGCGGCACCCTGCGCTCTCCAGCGAGATAGTAGAGAAGGAAGCCCGAAACGGTGTTTAGGGACGTTTCATAGTTTTTTATGTTGTAACTGTGTATTTTTCACCTATTTTAGGAAGGGGAGGGGGGCTCCGGGGTGGGTGAGCCAATTGAACGTTCAACTTTTAACTCATCTCAGCTTCTTGCATGGGACAACCATCTCACCCACCCCCGGAGCCCCTCCCTTGCTTAAAAAATAGGTTTTGTCGGCTCAGAAGAAGTGTATCCATAATATGCAAGCATATTGTTTGTTCTGGGTCACGAAACGCATCAGTACAACCTTACCATTTCTTCCCAGACTCAGGCCCACTACTATCTTGCTGGAGAGCGCAGGGTGCCGCGCCGCGTGGTCCCCCCCCCCCCCA